AAATAAATTAATATAAGGTAAAATTACGTTGAATAAATAGAAATAAGTGAAATAAGAGAATCATTGATCATAATTATTGAAAGTTAATAAATCCTGTGAATATATATTTTGTTCATTTTCTTAATAAGAATTATTTAAAGTAAATAATATAACATAAAAATTAAGTATATATTTTAAAAAATTACTGAAAATCCATAAAATTCATGGAGTCAATTTTTTAAGTAACAATAATTTGTATACTATGTATGTATTAAGAACAATTTATAAAAACAAAGTTCAACTGAGATTCAATTTATTTTTTTATATCTTTATTTAAAATAAAAAAATACCAAAGCGATATTTATAATTTTAACTTAATATATATACATATATACACTATTTGTACTTTTTAATATATTTGTTGTCTGTATAATACGCATCAAATTTGCATCTTCTATGTTATATATCTGATACAATGAACGAAATATACTATATACTTTATTATTTTATCAAACGATGCATCATATTTTGGGGAAAAAGAAATCAATTTCAATCTATATACATATAAAGAACAATCAGGGAAATAATAATATAAAATTATATACATAAAAGTTTAAAAACATTCCTTCTTCAGAATCATTGAATGTTTTAGAAAAAATAAATCTCTGTAATTTATCTTATGTTTATAAAGAAAATATAATTTTTATCGAAGAATCATACTAGAGGCAGTCTAATAAAGGAAATAAAAATTGAAGAAATTGAAGTTTCGAAAATATATTTTCTCCAGTGTTTATTGTATAAACAATGATAAAAATTGAAGGATCTAAAAATTTGAAGAAATAATTGTCTCTAGTATTATTATTTTATATTGTTATTTTAGGCGAATGGAAAATTGAATGATTATTTTTTGAAGAAATAATTTTTATCAAATATTTGTGCAACATTCTCTTTATGAATATAGACTGATTACTGCAAAAAAGAATAATGTTTTCAGGCTTTATCAGAAGCCGCAGAGTAATTAATCATAAATAATTATGCATCATTATGCTTGTACAACTTTGTAGCTGTGCGTTTTTTAAGATGTAAATAAATTATCGTGAAATCTATAATCCTTAATGCATCAATTATTTCAGAAAATATATATATTTTTTTTAATAATTATAATTTTTATAATTTTCGTATTTAATTTCTTTGAAATTTAAATTAAATTGTGAAATAAGAAATATTTAGAATTAATATTTTTATACTTGAAAACAATCTTTATTGCCATTGTAAATTGTACAAAAACACGCTCTACAAAGTATAAGTTTATTCTTTAAAAAGGAACATTTATAATTTTTTTTATTTTATTTTATTTTATTTTTTTTAACAAATTTAGATCAACGTGAATATATATATACTTAAACACATTTATATAAATAATTTTTAAATACACAAATTAATTCTATTTACACACACATGCGCGCACACACAAAATATATATATATATATATATAGTAAAAAAAAATTTGATCGATTAATAGTTTAAAGCTTTAAAAGAAAAATGAAAAAAAAAAAGTTTTATTAAATAATCGCGGAAATTTAATAAAAGGACGGATCTAATTTATCCCCTATTGTTTTCTTCAATTTTTATAATTTTATAATTTATACTTTACTATTATTTTCATTAACTTTTCATAATTTAAAAAAATAACAAAGAATTGAAAATAATTTTACAAAAATAGTTATAATATAAAAAACTTTTTTCATCAATAAAATAATTCTGTAGATTAATAATTTTATTAATCTCAATCTACAGAAAATTTTATGTTAGATCACAGACATGTTTCAAAACCCGTGAAACTGTTCACTGTGTTTTTGAACAAATGTACAAAATTCAGTGTTTAAAATTAATACTGGCGATTTACTTGCTTAAGAGAAATAACTCTTTCAGCAGAAAAATAGAATTCTATGCTAGAGTAATAACAAGAAAAAAATAACAGAAAAATGCTTCCTTTCGTGAAAATATAAATTTTTAATTTTCAATCTTAACTACTTAATTATTAAAATTTAATAAAAACTATAGTAATTGGTCATTGATCGTTATTGAATTTAAGTAATTAACAAAACACAGTTTACTCCACAAAGAATTTAAATTTTTAATATATTAATTATTTAGACAGAAGAATTAAAAAAAATATTTTAGATAAAAAATGTGTAAAATATTTTTCAGATTTTTTTTCTTATTCCAAAAATCTTATAGTGATCTTTTAATGAAGATCTTTAATCCTATCCTATATTGCTAATAAATATTGTCTGTTTCGGTAACAATAAAAGTTTTCTTAAAAGAAATTTTGTGAAACCAAAATTGAGTGCATTTATTTGTTGCAAAAATGGCACCCAATTTTTGTGAAAAATAGGAATTTTTCTTAGAATATTAAATAAGCATCCTCATCTTTTTGTTTTGATGATTATTCAAATTTAATTTCCTTTTAATTCTGATTATTTAAAACTCATCATGGAAACTTCTTTCCGTGTCTACCATTTTGCTGCCTAGGAACAGATCCATTTTGCTCAGAATCTCAGATAAATTCAATTTCCCATCTAAATTGGTATCTGACACACTGATTAAATGTTGGGCCTCTTGTATGGCGTGCCTTGGATTTCTTGGATCTATATACATCTGAAATAATACGAATAAATGTATAATTATTTTATCTTTAATTTTTATTCTTTTTTTTTCTTTGTCTAATTGCTTTAATGGTTGTATATACCAGAAGCTCTGTTCTATCGGCTTTTCCATTTTTATTCTTGTCGATAAGATGTCTAAACTCCTTTCGCCTGTCCTCACTTCCGCCTATTATCTCGTGTTTGTCTTCTTTTAATTCTAAACCCATCCCTTCTGCAGGTAAATCCGAAAACTCATCTTCTGTCAATTGTTCATCTCCATCGCGATCTAAAATAAAAGTAAATATAAAAATTAATTACAAATTTATTGTTATTAATATTGCAAGATAAGATATCACGAAGAAGAAATTGGAAAAATTAAAAAATGCAAAATCGATGAAATTAATGCTTTATGAAGAGGAAAAAATGAAAAAAAAACATAATATTGGTATTTATGTAGAAATAATTTTATAAAGAAGTAAGTTTCCACACCGAATTTTTCAAAAAGATCTTCAACCATTTGTAATAATGCTCTATGACTGCTTTCAGGATGAGTAAAAGCCAAAAACTCGTCGAGTGCCAATCTTTCCGGATCATTTCTGGCTGCTTCCGACCATCTGGCTCTGTCTCTCATTATATTCTCTTTCAAATTTCGTGACATGTCACTGTGCTTCTTATCATGCGAGCTCACATAGTTCTCAGGAAATCCGTGGGATCTGAGAAAGTACGCATGATACTCTTCCCACGAGACCTCGCCTGGAATATTAAGATGTAATAAGATCTTTAAAATCTCTTTCACATTTTCTATTATTTATTTATTTCTTTATTTTTCATATTATTTGTAATATGAGAAAGTATTTTTTATTTTTTTCCTCTTTAGTTTTGCTTTTTTAAATTTTTTAAATTTCTTCTACTGAAGAAGAAATTTTAATCTGTATATTTTTTTATTTTAAAAGTTTTATTTTAATTATTTTATGTTTAGTCTTTTTTTAAATTGTTTCTTTTTTTTCAAATAATCACATTCGTTATTAAATTAGAAATACAATATTTATTTAATTTTTTAAAAATCTTTCCAAGAATTATTATCAAAAGATTAATTACCATTTCGAGGATTATTATCTATTGCAGTGAATAAGCCGATATTCTCTTTCATAGCTCGACTTATATGCTCCGTGATCTTTGTATGAATCCATCTGGCCAATTCTTGAATATCTAACAATTGATCATGATCGGTATCAGCTCTTTGAAATATATCTTCGAGTAATATTCTCGAACTTTCTTGATTCTTTTCTATATTCTTTATATTCTGATCTATTTCCTTGTAATGTTCCAAATCTCTTTTGTTAATCGTCATTGCCTCCAATTCTATGAAAAGATTCTCAGTCATAGATCCTTTATCATTTTGTATAGATGTGGTGGACGTTAAGCTCTTTAAGGGCACGTTTCTATTGTACTTGAAAAAGAGTAGAGACAAATAGATAACGAAAGGCACAAGGATTGTCCACCGGATAAATCGGAAGCATCGCAAATCTGGCTTGCAATTGACTTTGTGTATCTGTGAAGAGATGATTAAGAAAAATGAAATATTTGTGTATTTATAAAATGAGATTGATATTCCTTGTTAAAAGGAATAATTTGAAGTTTATTCAAAGTTCATTTATTTCTAAAGAACTGAAATAATAGATAGATCTTTTTCTTTTTTTCTTTTCTTTTCTATATAAGCTTAGAATCTTATAAATTTTAAGAATATTTATGAAAGAAAATGGATCTTGAAAAAAGAGTTTTAATTCAATATTTATTTCCAAGAAATTAAGTTTTTTAAGATTTAAATTTTTATCTTTCTTCTTTTCTCTTTCTTAAGTTTAAAAGTCTTAGAAATTTTAAAAATTCTTAATCTTTGAAAAAATTTGAAACTAATTCTAATAACTATTACTAAAAAAGTTCTGAAGAAACAGAAAAAAAAAATAGATAAGAAAAATATCCCAAGTTACTCACAAAATAGGAAAAATACATGACTGTTTAAATTTATAATGCAAAATCACTATAAACCATTATGCATTTTTAATTCTCCCAACTTTATATGTTTATCTTTAAATCATTGTCAGTTACATGTTCTGTCTCAGAAGAAACATTTTTATCAACCCATTGCCATCACAAATAATAAATCTGTCATTTACAGGTCCCTGCATTAAACACTATTCACACCAATGATAGCACGAACATTTCAATATGCACTGACAAATTGTTTCAATTAATAACAACAATTTCACAAATGAACTCAAATCTTGCATGCACTTTGAGAAAAACATTGAACAAGAAATGGAACAGAAACTAATGACAAAAGGTAAATAATTCTTAAGCTAAAAAAAATTTATGTTAAAGACACTGTAAATATATTTGATCTTCTATTAATTCTCTTATTTTTTGACAAAAAAGGTAAGTTTTGAGGAGAAGTCTAGTTGCACGTTGTATGGCGAAACGTTAACGGCGTATTGATCCACTTTCACTGTCGTATCCTTTCTCTCTATAACCCTCTCTCTTCCTCTGCTCTTCTTTGTTCCACTTTTATCCTTATCTCTATCATTGTCTCTCTAATCAAATAGAGATAGTCTCTTGTTTCATAATTAAAATGTAATAGTAATAATAATTGTTCCTCTTGTTTTTGATCAATTGCACTAATTTTTGAATTTTTCTTTTAAAATTAATATCTTTACTATTTCTGGATGAGAATATAAATTTTATTAAGAAACGTTTATTCTTTTTATTCTTTTTACTTTTGAAATTTTTTGTTTTTTGGAAAATTGATATTTTATCTAATTATAACAAGTATCTAATTTCTTTTTTAAAGATTTGATTGTTTTTCCATCTTTGGTATCTTACTTTTATTTTATTTAATATTGTTTTATTGCTTTTTTTATTTATTTTTCTATTATATTATTTTATTTATTTAAAGTGAATGAAAGAAGGAATGAAGTCCATTTAATAATGATATAAAAAAATTTATTTATTTAGAAAAACATTATATAAAAGAAAAAATAGAAATTAAAAAAATAAAGATGGATTTAATAAATCTATTTAATTCGTATATTTTTCTTCTTATATACAAATATTTTATCTAGAAACGAAGAAACTTATTTAAAACATATTCGTATATATTCTTTTTCTTAATTACTTAAATAATCTCGCAAAAACGAAGTACAGATCCGCAGTCAAGTGAAAGAATGATTTTTCATCTCCACGATAATTTAAAAAAAAAAAAGACGACGAAGAAAAAAAGAAAAAAGAAGATATAGGAGAAAAGAGGGGAAAAACCATTCCAGAGTTGACAAGGTGTTAAAAAGGAGATTCTTAAACGAATTGTCGATGTTTCGTCGCGAAAGAAGCATCTCGGGGCGGAAGTTGCTTTAAAAAACTAAAGAAAAATGCATAAATTATTATAAAATCAATATTGAATTTTTTTCTTGGAATAGAAAAATTGACATATTAAATTATATTTATGAAATATTTAAAAAAAATAGATAAAATTTAATGAAAATTTAAATGAAAAAAATTGTACTTTATAAAAATAAATATTTTTTCAATGTCAAAACGAAGAGAAAATGCTTCAATTGATAAAATAAATTTAAAATAAAAGTTATTATTTAAATTTAATCTATGAAGACTATAAAAATATTTTTTTCTTCATAAACATAAAGATATTTAAATATAATTAAAATATATAAAAAGAATATAATAATTTTATTTTAAAATTTGCCCGCCTATGAGAATTTTCTCGCTCAGGAATGGTTGAAATTCGCAAAATATATTAAGTATATAGTAGATATAACAACTAGCGCCATAAAACTATTTTACGCCTTTACAAGTCATCTCCTAGCAAAAAGTCTTCTCTGATTATCCATAAATAGTCTCTCTCTAAATTAACAAACTATTTTCATTTTTAACAATATTTAATTCCTGAATGGAATATGCACTGGCTATTTTTATTGTATTGCTTTATTCTATAAATAATATTTTTTTTCATGATTAATACTCTAAAAGGTATTTAATTGAGTCTTAAAGAAATAAGGAATCTCTATCAAAGAGATTGCTTTGATTTAATTATCTGTATATAATGCTTCATTCTGTAACATTTGAATTTTAAAACTTCAAATTTACAATCTGTTCTTATATATTTTTCAGTTGTCAAGATAGAATTCTTAATAGTCAATTTTTTTAATTATCATATTTTATCAGAATGAAGCAATTTATAATTGTACTTGAAAAAACTTAAATTTCTAACATGACTAAATTACATATGGAACTTTGTGTAATAAGTACAACTTAACTCTCAGAAACTGAATTCAAGATCATTTCTGTATTCATAAATTCACTATTCAGCAAGCTCCATTAAAAACTAACACATAGAGTTTTCTAGTGCAGTCAATATTTCTAGCTTATTATAAAACAACCTTAAAGAAATAAAAATGATGAATGGACTGTTACAATATTAGGAACTACTACTTTTAAACAATTCTTTGGAATATCCTTATAATCTTCTAAAATATTCATATAATTTTCTAAAATAATTGTTCATTCAAATAATCACTCAGAATGCAACTTTTAGTTGCAAAATCGATTTTTACATACATAATAGATACTTTTCTTTATGTCTTTGGACTTTTGGCATTTTCCATTTGAGATTTTTCATCATCTAACTCCAGACCAAAGTTTGTGATACCATGTACTTTATTAGCACACGATTTTGTCTGCACATGAAACAAAGAAGCAATAGGTGGACTCAAAAGATCTTGATTAAGATCAGCTGGATTTTGAACACCTGTGAAAAAGCTTATGATCACACCTATCAACATTGTTAGGATGCAGCCTATCGCACTATACCATAAATAGCTGATCTGAAATAAAAAAAATTAATTTTTAGAATTTTTACTTGATAAATAATTAATTATCTGTAAGAATCTTTATTCTTTAATAAAAATAGCAGGAAAAATTAATAATTACTTTATATATGGAATAAGCTTCATTATAATTGTAACTTGACTGATGATTAAAAATTGTGATTAAACTATTATTAGAGCACTTATCAATTGACACAGGTTTGCTGTCCAAATGAATTTGTCCGTTTAAAACAGCAATTTGAGCCCCCAGACCAATCCACAGGACAATTGCCAAACTGATGATGGCACCAGTAATTGCGCCTTTGGCATTTGCCCATGGGATGAACATCCCCAAAGAGAATAATCCTAGTGTGATGCCTCCAACCATACCATTGAATGATAATGCAACCTAATTTAAAATTTATTTTCACTCTCTGTATTATTCATTAGATATTAAAATGAATGCTCCCAAAATTATATCCGCATTAAATATGAATTTAATTAAAAAATTATATTGAAAATTTTGAAAAGTAGTTTTCGAAAGGAAAAAAATTTATACTTGAAGAACACTGCCAAGTTGTTCCACAACGAAAACCAAAGCAAAACTAAGCGCTCCGAAGAAGATACTGATCCATCTAGCATAAATTGCACCTTTTCTCGCAGACATATCAATCTTGAATAATCCTTGCAAAATATCTTCGCAAGTTATAGCTGCCAATGAGTTCAGAGCGCTTGCTACGGTTCTGAAAAATATCCCAAAAATATTTTTTCATTTAAGAATTTTTTCGCAAAAATTCTCTAAATAAGAGAAAAAAAAATATTTTTTAATCAAATTTCAAAGAAGAAATTGAAGAAATTATAAAACATACCCTAAAGAAGCGGCGAAGATTCCAGCAACGAAGAAACCAGGTACGCCCTTAAGATTACCCATGAAATTCATTACGTATAGTGGCAATAATTGATCTTGGCCAGTTATGTTACCAGCCAAGAGAGGATCACAGTCTTTGTAAGTGTCATAAAGTATCATACCGGTCAAGAAATTTATGGTATATATTACAATCATACCAAAAGCAGATACCCATAAAGCTCTGCAATAAAATGAAAAGTTAAAATATTCTAGAAGTAAAATTATATTTAACACATTTTTTTTTGTTATTTTTAGTAATTTTTTTTTTTTTTTTTTTGTAAGACACATACGTTCTGGCTTGACTAATGCTTTTAACGCTAAGATATTTTTGGACGGAAGCTTGATTACTGCAAAACATCGTTGTCCAGTATATGGTTCCACCTATCACCACGCTCCAAAAACTGTGACGAACGGTTGGATTAGGATCCATATTGAAGAACTCTATTCTTCCAGATTCTTCATTGACTTGCCATATTGAGGAAGGTCCTCCTGCCCAGGAGAGACCGTATCCAGCTATGAGAAAAAGGGAACCGAGAAGAACTACTGCCTGGAAGGTGTCCGTCATTATGACGGCTTTCATTCCACCTGATGTAAGAAAAAAAAAATACGAAGATTAATTGAAGAGAATTGAAATTTCGATAGAATTGTGTTAAAGAAAAAGAAAGGAAGAAGATAAAAAAGAAAAAATATCTTAAGATGAAAAAAGGCAAAATTAGAAAAAAATTTTAAAAAGAAAACATGATGATGAATATTTTATTAAAAAAAATAAAAATATTAAAGTTAAAAGAAATTAATAAATATCAAACATATTTTTGCAAAAAGAAAATTAAAAAGAGCAATAGATACCTGCGAGGCATAAAAGATACAGACTACATAGACTAGAGTGACGGCTATGTAAGTGTTTAAACCTGTAACTGTAAAAAGAGAAGAATAAATCAAGGGAATACGGGGATTAATTGAATCATGTTACTCACCATGGCTTAAAGCTAACGCTGGCGCGTATACGGCTACAGATGTATACAAGATCATCTGTAACATGTAGAGACCACCGGCAAGCAGCCTGCAATATTGATTGAAACGAAGATTCAAATATTCATAACTCGAGGTTAATCGTAGCTTCATGTAGACAGGCAGGTACAGATAGGAAGTAATAGGTACAACGAAAATAAAAGCCAGACAAGTCATCCAAAATTGAGTGCCCTGTGAAATTAAAAAATATTTTCAAGTATAATAGCAATTTTCTTCGAAATCAAAGTTTTATGATTAAATATTTTATTTAACAGTAATTTAGGAAAAGAAAAAGAAAATATTTTTAAATATATTGATTACATATATAGATTAGAAATATTGTAATATTGAAATAAAGAAGAAATAATATTGAAGAAATGAGAAGAAAAATTAAAAAATAAAAATATATAAAACGAAAATTATGTAAAAAGGTAAAAGAAAAAAATATTCCAGAATTTCAATTGCCATACTGAAGTAATCACCATTTCTTTTTTTAGATTCTACTGTTCTCTAAAGCAATATGTTTAAAATATTTAAACAATAAAAAAAGAGAAACATACATGTTTATACATCTCTGTAGGATTTCCTAGGAGTTCAATAGCTGTAATGAAACTAGCAGCGAGAGACATTGCCATTGGAAATGTTCCCATGCTCGAACCTCCGAGCAAGAAGTCCTGGTTGGTTTCCTGCTTCTTAGCGATGAAACCATAGAAAGTGCCGATCAGGCATGAAATTATTAACATTGCAGCCAATACCGTATAATCAACCCATGAAAAATAATAAAGAAGCGAATATTTCTCAGTGTGTATTTCATGTACATCTTCAGATGGTCGTTGTTCTGCTGAAGAAACAGCCAAGAAGAAGTATAATACCAGAAAACGCGACTTCATCTTTCAGGAGCTTGAACAGAAGGACAAAAAATTTTCACTTTCTTCTTTAAGAAAATTATTTTATATTTTATATGTAATCTTTTTCTATATTAATTGATTCTATATTAATATGTTTTAATATCGATTATGAAGATGAAGAAAAAATTCGTAAGTAAAATAATCGATGGAAAATGCCAATTGTACTTGGTATTCAATATCCTTGAGCCGCATTTATGGATATTCGATATAGTATTTCCTATAAATCTAGGATCATATGAAAGACACAATTGATCGACACTTCCGCGCAATCTAGATTAATCTATTATTCGAATCTGTTTTAGTATCAATTTTCTTATATTTCGTTTTTCAAATCAAATCAATGAAATTTATCGAAAAGTTGAAGTTTTATTATTAATTTTTTAATTATAATTTTTTATAAATCTCTAGTAATATATTTTTTATTTCTTAAATTTTTTTGAAATATTATTTATGAGATTTATATATCATATTTTCCTCTGTTGTTTAATTATATATTTTTTTCCAGATCAATCTCTCAAAGAAGAAAATAATATTTCAAGAAATTTATAAAATTAAAAATTCTGAAATATTTTGATACAATCATGTCTTTATATATATATATATATATATTATTTTTTTTTTTTTTTTCTTATTTTTTACGTTTCACATTTCTTCCATTGAATCCTAACCTGAAAATCATAATAGTTGTGCGTATCGATCAGATATGAATATACACAAACTGAATGGATGCAATATCGTTTAGTCAACCGATTCATTCTCTTACGTAAGCAAAGTGTAACGCACTGTATGCTTGCTTTGGTTGGAATGATGTGATTATTGAATATATGCTCCACCAATGGATGTAATTGTTTAGTAGGATTTGCACCATCGTTGTGGTATTAACACCGGCGTTCGATCATCATTAAGAAATCTGGTTGTCTCTGGCTAGAACCAGTTAATTCAAAGGCGAACAGGTCCAGTTTATATAAACAGTATAGAAAAAGAGTAACAGAATAAGGGAGATCTCTTACAATACTGTAATTTGATCCATATATACGATACGATGCATATAAATTTATTCAATTGTATTTCAATTAATATGCATAAATAATATTATAAGATAAATTTTCCATATTTTTTTTTTTTTTTAGATATAATGAGAGGAAAAATGGGATTAAATTCAGGAAGATATGATTTTCAATCAAATGATTTGATTAAAAAATAAAATTTATAGAAAAAAATGAATGAATTAGAAATTAGGATGAATTATGTGATATTATTGAGATAATTTTCGATGAAATATGAAAATTTAAAGATTTCTGAAGTTCCTTTATGAAAGAAGAAATACATTTCTAAAAGAAATTCTGAAACTTCTTTTTAATGGGAAGAAATACATAATTAGGTCTTGAAAATACTGAAAAAATTGCTTGTACATTTGTTATAGATTTTAACTAAATCTTTTTACTATCAGTATCGATTCAATCATCATTAAATTATAATTAAATTCTCATTAAGAATTTAGTTAAAATTTCTTCAAATTTAAGTGATTCATATATTAACCTTTTTCTTTTCAAAAAAAATATTGATTTATTTTACATGTAATATTAATATTTATTTCACATTGTTTTCAATACATTCTTAAAAATCTAAAATTTTTAAATGATTTATACAAATAATTTATTTATCTTTTGATTTGAATTAATTTTTTTCAAAAAGAATTAATATTTGATACAATAAAAAGAAGAAAAAATCATTTGAGTATTAAAAAAAGATATTCTTTCAGAATTGAAAAATAGTATTGGTTAATATACAAATTCGGCCAATGATGTCATTAGATAACTTTGATTTAAATTGCGATAGAGAGCAATTGTCATCAGATTTTCAATGAGAGACAAAGCACAGATTACGATCTATTTAGAATCTGACAAGGAAAAATATAAAGTTACCATCTTTTACAGAAAAAAAGGAGAATATGGATAAGTAATATAAAATAATTTATTTTTTTTTCATGATCTTTGTCTTGTAGATAATGTATTCTTCAAAAATTTCCAAATGAAAAGTTAGTTTAAGATATTTTAAATATTAGATTCTGAAAATTATATTTAAAAAATATAAAACATGTCCTTTAAAAAAATTCAATCTTTTTCATTGAAAACACATTTTATTTTAAAAAATTTCTCCCCAAACTTCAAGATCAATAATTATTCCAAAATATTAAATTATCAAATTTTAACAATTTTATTAGATTTTAATTCTAAAAAAAATTAAACTTTTTCAATAAAAGCATATGCATCACAAACTTCAAAACTTTTCAAAACTTCAAGACCAACAACTTGTTCTACATAAGTTTTTTAAAAGTTTTTTTATCTCAAACATTTAAACTTTTTCAAAGATCTCTATTATTTCAATCTTATTAAAAACATCAAGTATTTAAAACCAAGATATTAAAAAAAAATCTAAAATTAATATATCTTACCTCTTTAAAAATGTTAAATTACCCCAATCTTGGTAAATCTCTATCAAGGAACAAGAAGAAAAAGAAAAGAAGATGATGTTGATGAAAAGAGATATAAAAATAGTCTCTTAAGATATTAATGGTGTTCAATAATTGGTAAAAATGTACGAAATTGCAGCTGAATGATCTTGCTGTTAGTCTTCCTAACGTAACGCATATATGACTTTTTTTTTTTAACCAATCACTGATTCGAACTGCTTGACCGGGAATGTTTCAGATAGTATTAAAGAAGTGCAGATCGATTAATTAATTAAGATCTCTCGATTTTACGCGCCTTGTTTTGAACAGAGCCGGCGAATTAAGCGGAGAACGATTTCAGACTGTCGTTTTAATTGTCACATGTGTCCATTTATACGAACCAGCCCCTTCCAGAGTAACGAGTTTCTTGCATTCCGCAGACTTATGGAAACGATGATGATAATTACGCTTTAATCCGAAGGATTAGATGTATTTAGGATGAAAAAATACTTTGGTCTTCGAACAGGAAGTAAATTCGTGAATTTATTTATTTTTTAAAATTTTAATTTTGAAAAATTAAGAAAAAAATTATTGATTAAATAGTTGAAGTTGAATTTAATCAATTTTGAATTATATCAATAATTGAAGAAGAATCAATGTGTTGTTGCAGTGTTGAAAGAAAAAACGAAGAAAAAATATCCTGATTTCTGGAAAGAAGTAAAATGAAATGAAAAAAAAAAGAAAAATTATTAATTTTAATGAAAGAAAAAACAGAGGAAATAGAAATATTCATTTAATAGTATTGAATTTCATAATATCTTTGAAATCCTTTTTTTAATTTTTGGAACTATATAATATTTTGAAAAAAAAATTACACAAATGCAAAGAGAAGAAATATTTCATCATTATCAATTTCATATCAATATCATCATAAAAGATGTTAATGCGAAAATATTAAAAAGAAGAGAAGTACAATTGAAGAGCATTTTAATATAGAAATTTAAAAAGAAATAAAGAGAGCACATCAATTTAAAGATATTGAAAAAAAGAAAAATTAAATTAAAGAATATTTGCAAAAAAAATTAAAAAAGAAAATAAAGAAATTTAAATAATTCTACTATTCTTATTTTTATCTCATTAATGAAATTATTTTTTTCATCAATTAAGGAATCTCTTTTTCTTAACTTACGATTTCTATCTTTTTATTCTCCATAACTTATAAGGTAACTTATAATTTATAGGTATAAGGTAACTCAAGAATATATTTCATGATACACCATAACGGAAGATACAAACTAGCAATCGTATTGGATTTTATGATAATGAAAACTGATAAACCTGATAAACTATATATCACTGCTTGCTCTATAAGATGAAAATTGAAACATGTAAAATTGACGAATAGGAATATATAATCATAAAAACTGTGTTTACAGTTATTATGATTGAAGCAGGATCCAACCGCTATTTAAAATCTTGTATGTAAATAAGTATTATTCCTCAAATTTCTGAATTTTTGATACTTCTTGATATATTTACATTATATTGTGATTGTGATAAAAATATGAAGAAAAAAAGATAAATTTAAGAAAAATTAAAAAATCTAAAAAATTAAAAATTAGAAGTAATTATAAAAAATTGGAAAAATTAATGAATAATAAAAGCATCTAAAATAATTAATATTGAAAAGAATTAAAATTAATAATTAATAATTAATAATTTTTTAATCATAAATATAAATTGTGTAAAATTATTAAAAAAAATATATAATAATGCATATTAAATTTTCTATAGTTTTTATTCTTCTATTAATCTATATTCTTTATATATAATAAAGTTTATATATTTCACTAACAAAGAAGTCATGGGTTTTTCTCAATGAATCTATAATTTTATCGTTTTTCTTAGACCTATTAATTATAGCCATAAAAAGAGAGAAAAAAAATAAAAAAGAAAGAAAAAGAAGTATTTCATCTAATCGTAAATCTGTTATTAGGTTTATCAATACCTGACTCTTGTCTTAATTATTGTTAAACGTCAGGATAATGGAGAGCAATTAAATGAAGATAAATTCTCTTCGATAATTTTTATCAATCAACTATAGAAAATAATCTTCTAATTTTAAATGAAACAAAACTTTTTAAACGTGGAAAAAGATTAATAGGAGATTCTAGATATTTATTATTTTTTAATAATTGAATTTTAAAGAAAATCAGCAAAATATTATAAAATAAACATTATTATTTCAAAAAAAGAATTATTTTTAATTACATTGTAAATTTGGATTTATGATAATTTATTTGAATGAATTTGTGTAGATTTTCTGAAACTAGATTAAAACAAAGTATAATATATATATATATATAAGAAATTATGAAATTCTGAATATGATTAAAATTTTTTTAGAATTTTTTGATTAAGATATGAAGAAATTGTAATGTAATGTTTACATCTAAAAGTAAGGGATGATTAGAATTATTTATAACATAACGCGATTCAATGAAATTTTCTTCGTGATTATGCTATTTCTATTAAGAATGTATGACTCATATCAGGTTAAACAAGTTACGTCGTTCATTGATAAATGAACAGAACTAAACATTTATCGGTAATTTTAAATTCAAAATGTTTTATATATATATATATATATATATATATATATATATATAAATAATAATAATAAATAAATATA